TCATGCTGAGTTTCACAATTGTTGATTATTTAAACAATAATGTACGACCTGCCAACCCATAATGGCCGCCATGTTTTGACCTGGGGCGGTGTTTGACCTGATAGATCAAATCCCTAATTAAGCAATCAAAATGATGAATGATGCCAACATGTCCAAATTACCATAGCTCATTCAAATATGTTAATGTTAATGAACGCAACACAGAAGATATTTGCTGATTTTGTAGTACGATCTTTTGGCTTGAATTTTGATTGGAAAACACGTTTTTTTTTAAATCAAAATGAGCAGTTGAAGAATAATTTAACATTGTTTACAGTGATATAAGCTCATTGCCGAAACGAAGCGTACCCATTCACACTAGTCACAATAAACATCATACTCTTGAATAGGTAGGTGTCTATGACTATTTTAGGCATCAGGAATGATTGAAATGTCTGAAAATTCATGGCAGAAATTAGAATCCAGTACATATACTGTGCACTTGATCTATTAAAAGTGAACCTCCAATAGGAGTGCATGCACGATCATTCAAATATTACTTATTTTGGTCATTTACGTAATCTCTTGTGCAACTATTACAGAATGAGTATGCTGAGAACCCTGATGTATTCAGACATCTAATTGGACTGTTATATCAAATAGACACTGATACTCCAGAAGGCATGTTGAAATATCCCGTGGTAAGCTATTGAATTTATACAGCTACATATGTACATATGTATGTATGCATTGGGCTTTGTAAATAATCATTGGGAGACAGGATTTACTGGCTCAGCATGATATAAATTGTGAGCCATATGTTGTGGTTGTTTTCTATCTGAGGTATCAATATTTATTAGAAAGACAGATTTCCAAATACAAACTGAAACATATTAAAATGTCATTCTGAGTATTATCAAAGTTTATAATATTGCAGATAGATGAGAACCACTGCATTGCGGATTTGACAAGGATTATGTCAAGATTATTATTTCTACATGGTTAGTGTTTTATGATAATCATTCTAACTCGTTATAGATTAAAAAGAGGATTAGATACTTATTGAAAGAACAGACCATCCTTGCAGATAACCTTATGTACATCATATACCAGACATTTGACTTAAAAACTGGTGTCTTTGCCTTCAAACCTCTCAATAATGGACTCGATCAAAATCAAAGGTTGGTAATTTCATTTCTATTGTTGGGTCAAATCATGATCTGCTACCCTTTCAAAGACAGTAACAGGCATGATGTTAGTGTTAAAGTTTTGTTTTTAATGACATTGTATTCCAGGAAAAGGAATCTTGAAGAAACATTGGAGACGTCCAAAAGGTCAAAACAGCAGAAAAGACAAGTGTCCTTCTACAATTATTGTAAACCTGCTGTCAGTGCCTACATGGCTGCTTATGGAGTGCCATCCAAGTTCACAGAGAGTATGAAAACACAATCACCTAAAGAACCAGAGAACCAGCATTCTGATTCCAACTTAGCTTCACTTTTACAAAGTGAATCAAAACACTTATTGAAAAAACCTGAATTTTCTAAATCCAGACAGCTATATGACAAGGTATAATAATTAAGATATCTGCCACTGGAAACAATTAGAAACTAGGCATCTCTTTGCATGATTGAGAGTATGCCCAGGTGCAAAAGAAAAGAATGTTTACTATTTTTCGAAACAAAGCTTGAAAAGCTACTTGAATCATTTTAATGCTGTACAATCATAAAGTAACAGTACATGTTGCATTCTGGAATAATTAAAGAGTGGTCTTCAACCCTCAGTGCATGTTCGAATTTGACATTAACAAACTCATAAAACAATTTTACATTGTATACATTGCTATGGAACCCATAATGGCGCAGTGACCACCACCCTTTAACAATAGTTTCATCAGGCATTCACCAAGGTCACGATACCATCACAATAATACAGTACTCATCCCAACCTTCCACTTTTTAATCAACCGCTTATCGCCTAATTTCTGACATCCGGCCGGAAACAGAATGCATTTTAATCGCCTTTTTTTCTTGCTCGCTCATTGAAAACACCAACCGCTCGCCCAATAAATCAATGTGAACCTTGGAAATTTGTTGGGAGCTGAATTTTAAATGCGAGCAAGCTAGCTGTGATATTTCTGGGTTTTCGCTGTAAAAAATAAAGCGGAAATTGTCTGGTCAAATTAAACTAGCAGTCGCAAAAGCAAGCAAAAAAAAAACGATTGAAAAGCAGAAGCGGGTGGGAGGTTGGACGAAATGACTACTGTAGTTATTGGTCTTGGACTCTCCTGTTCTTTTATTTCTAGATACCTTCTTCTCCACACATGTCAGCTGAGCACACATCATCTGAAACTAGTTGCAGTGGTTCCTTAGACTCTGTGAGTGTGACAATGAATACCCGGAGATTAAAAGAGAAACAGAAGGAACTCTTGCAAAAGCTCAACACTTTACAACAGAAGGCCTTCACAAGTGATAATGTAAGTGAGCTGGAATACATGGCTGTAGATGATGAAGGAAAAAATCTGACGAGTGACAGTGAGGACAACCAGGATAATGAAGAATGCAGAAAAAGGACACCTAATGTGTCAAGAAGTGATCATGAAGATGAGCCTAGTTCTGGAGACGATAGCTACACGACATCATCAATGGAACCATGTGTAATGCTGGAAAAACTCAATTTGGATATGGGTGAAGCAACGAGGGCATTGTCTAATGGAAGTCGCACTGCATTGTGTGATGGAAAACCAGTGTCTTCGCAATTCAAAATGAACTCGGCTTTCCCATACTCTCAGAGGGTCATTATCAGCAACGGAGAGATTGAAAATTCAGACATTCCACAGTCAGATGATGAATCTTCATCAAATGATGCTAAGAGTAGTGACAACAGTTACAGTATGTATGGTGTGATGGAGGCAGCTCCATTAGCATGTCTTCGTAGAGTGCCTACCATATTCAATTATTCATCTACTAATGATAGCATAGTACAGTCGGTGGAGAAAACAAATAGCTCAGAGGAATCACTGTACTTAACCAACACTTTGTCAGACAGTGAATATAATAATCTTATCGTCCAAGGCGGGGGCACATCTGATCACTCTATTGATGAATCATTAATCAGTGAATCTGATACAAGAATTGACACCATACTGTCAAAACAACCACCGCTAGAGTCATACTTTGAAAAGTTAATCCGTAATGCTTTGCCTCCAACACCAGTTCTGGAAGAACCCATCAGACCACCATGTAAACCAAAGTCTGCAGTAAGGAGAGGTAGACCACGAAGAAATCCTAAAACAAAATAACCTGAAACAATTATTTATAAAATTAAAATCATTCTTCTTTTTCCTTTCTGAGTTAGTGTTATGAACTTCAGTTTTTTTAGTGCATAACAATTTTATTGACTTTTAAAAAAATGTAATATACATATTGAAAGAAACATTGTATTTATTTATTTAATTTCAGTTCAGGTTACAAGTGAGAACTAATCAGACTGATAATGCAGCCACTCATAATGGTCTGTGTGTTGCTGGGACTTAAATTCCCATTACATGTAATGGAAAAACACAATCTCATTTAAACCATAGTAATATTAATCAAAATGTCATTAACAATATACA